CACTCTTCTCTGTCTTCCCGGCCAAGCACTATGCCTTGCTGCGCTCCCGCCCGCAGCGTCGCCTTCGCGCCCGGCCGCAGCTCCCGCCCGCAGCATCGCCTTCGCGCCCGGCCGCCCGCACGCCCCGCCAGCCACTTCTGTGAGGCCCTCTGGACGGTGGTCGTGCAGGACGGGGTAGGACGGGGTAGACTGGTGGCAGTGGCGGCGCTGCTGCTGCCGGTGGTCGTGTTGCTGCCGCGGTGTCGGGGCGTCGCGGCGCAGCCCACGCCACGGTGCGGGGACGGCGACCTTGCCGCGTTGCGAGGGTTCTCGGCCGGTCTTGATGCTCTGGTGGATGGATGGCCGGCCGTCGCTGATGACGATGAGGACGGCTGCTGCGCGTGGCCAGGCGTGGTATGCGGCCGCGCGGGCGTCGTCGGGGTGGTGCTGCCGAACCGGGGGGATATGACCGCGTTGCTCACCGGGCTGACGGCGCTCCGCGTGCTCAACCTCTCCGGCAACGCGCTGCGGGGCGCGCTCCCGCCCGGCCTCCTCCGGCTGCACCGCCTCGAGGTGCTCGACGTCAGCTCCAACGCGCTCGCCAGCGCGATCGGGCCCGAGCTCGAGCTCCCGGCGGCGCGCATGTTCAACGTGTCGTACAACGCGTTCAACGGCAGCCACCCGGTGCTCCCCGGCGAGGCCCCGACCCCGCCGCCCAAGCCGCCGCGCCCCTCTCCTCCGACCCCTCCTCCTTCCCAGCCCTGCGCTCCGGCACGCCTCGCCGCGCCTCCGCCCACGCCGGCCCGCGTCCTCCAGCCCCGCACTTCGCGGGCGTCCGCCGCTTCCCCGAATCACGGCCTCATCTCCGGCCGTCGCGCCGCCTCCCCGAACCATGGCCTAGTCTCCGGCCGTCGAGCTGCCTCCTGGGCTCCATCCTCATGGCGTAGGTGCGGCATCGCGCGAGCGGGGACGGCCGGATCGGTGCGGCATCGGCGCGGCAGAGCGGGGCGGAGCCGCGCTCGAGGGCGGACGCACGAAGCAGAGCAGACGTGAAGCTCGCCGCGCCCGCGCCCGCCTATTCGTGGCGGAGCTCGCCCGCGCCCGTGGCCGGGGCGGAGCTCGCGCCCGCCTCTGCATCGCCGGTGCGGCGTCGAACGCGACGGCGGGGCAGCGGACTTGGGCACGCCATGCCGCCTCCACCTCCATGGCCGAGCAGAGAAGAGACAGATGAGGGGGTGGGGGAGACAACGAGTAGAAACTTTTTGACACCCTGACAAAAATTCTCGCCGGCAGCCCCCCAGGAGGCGAAAAAAATGCCTCCTGGGGAGGCAAACGGCTGGAGATGCCCTAAGGGTTTGTTTTCTGGCTGAGACTACTAGGGAGCAAAAGGCGGATTTTGTCGCTTTTATGGAGACCGCTAGGCCTAAATTTACTTGGTAATATTACTTGACCGCTAGGCCTTCATCCTCTAGGGAGATCGGGTGTGTTTTGCTAGAAGTTAATTATTACTCTAGGGAGATAGGCATTCACTTGATGTCGGGAAAATGGAACTGGAGGATTAGGTTAATTATTAAGTTTTACGTGCAGTCTAAACTTGATGGCTTTGATAGGGCTGTTGTTGTGGATAACATGGCTGCAGCACAAACCCGCTTTCTTGACTGAGTTGGTTTACTTGTGAAGATGAAAATGTACTCATGGTCGTGGATGGAGATTTTAATATTATTTGTTAATGTGCTTAAAAGAATAACGAAAATTTCGACGGTAGATGGACTTTTTATGTTTAATGCTATAATTGAAAATCTTGACTTGACAGAGACTAGGGCATCGATTTACTTGGGACAATAGCCTTGCTACACCAACTTATTAAAAGTTGGGTCGCATTCCGGTTAGCTTCGAGAGGGGATAATGTTTTCCCCCCAATTATGGTGTGCGCATTGTGAAGGAGACTTCCTGACCATGTGTAACGCCCCAGATGTAACTTTCCCCATTTGTACTCCAACTCTTGCCGTTTCCGGTGTCAAGTTATATTTATTTCTCGGGTTCGGGTCCTTGTCTCCGTGTGTTGTTTTCGTTTTCATGCATCTCATACCATGTCATCTCGTGCATTGCATTTGCATACATGTTCATCTCATGCATTCGAGCATTTTCCCCGTTGTCCGTTTTGCATTCCGGCGCTTCGTTCTCCTCCGGTGATCATTTCTAGTCTTCTTTCGTGTGTGGGGTTTAAACATTTCCGGATTGGACCGAGACTTGCCAAGCGGCCTTGGTTTACTACCGGTAGACCGCCTGTCAAGTTTCGGGTCATTTGGACTTCGTTTGATACTCCAACGGTTAATCGAGGGACCGAAAAGGCCGCGTCGGTGTTGCAGCCCAACACCCTTCAAATTTGGCCCAAAAATCCACCAAACCCTGCTCCATGTCCTAGAGCGTTCGATCACGATCGTGTGGGCGAAAACCGCACCTCATTTGGACTCTCCTAGCTCCACTTATGCCTATTTATACCCCCTCCATTCGGATCTCTTCTTCCCCCG